GCTGAATAGGGCGATTTCAATCAAACTTTATATGATGATCATGTATATTGGGTTACACGTGCACGTCATATTTTTTTTCAAAATTTGTACCAAAATGGCCGACTGTTTTGTCTTGAGATTTGATCAAATTTGTCGAAATTGAGGCCACTTTGTCAAAAAAACGTAAAATAGCAGTAAAATAGCAAGTCTTTTCTACCACCGTTGAAGATAATGAAAAAAAAGTGTTGGATATGATGAACTCCTAAAAAAAAAATTTGCAAGCAAACCTACTAATAAAAAAAAAATTTCCAAACACATAAAAAAAAAAAAAAAATTTGCCTTTCCCTGAGCTGACCTCCCCCCTCAAAAATCAAATGGTCCAACCCTTATTACGAAGATACCTCAAAGTATGCACGAAGACAGTAGAGCGGCAGTATCGACCGACGCGCAGCGGAGGTCAATGCGACAGCGTACTGTCTGAGTGCATACTTGAGATATCTTCGTAATAACCTTATTATTATACATATTTTCTTTCCAATGATACATCATGGGAATGCCGAAATCCAAAAAGTTTAGAACAGAATCAGCGAACTTATTTGTGTGGAGTCCGGTCAAATCCTGGTGGCAGCCATGTTTATTTTTATTATTAGAGGACGCTTAGGCGCGTAATCATTCCATATTTGGAATTCGCATTTCCTAATATGGTAGTATGAAAATACCCCGTAAAATACCGCAAAATTACGGCACGCTGTAACTTATGGCGTTACGGTGACAGATGTATAATAATTCAAATTAATAAACCATTACGTTGATTATTGGATACCTAGAACAGATGGCTGTCCGACACTCGATAGTGTGTGGTAATCTAACTTGTTTTCAGATTCGTGAATTTAAGCAGATAAAATGGGCGTAAACTCTTACGCTCAGATCTCAACAGCTTAATTGAAGGCGTTCAACACCGTACATACACATGGCGTGTAATTTTCTCAGTACATGTACATAGTTATTGTTATAAAATATTGATTTTCCTAAAAAAAAAACTTACTTGACTGATTTATAAAATGACAAGTTAAATTAAAACACATTACGATGTAACGTGTAAACAAGTGTTTGCAATGAAACAAAGAATCATACATGAGTAGAACAGCTTTATTAACTAATGACGTCATCCAACACGATCACGACATATACAAGATATTTAAAACGAAAAATTGCTTCAGCCTTATAGATAAGTAACTCGCCAGTAATACATTTCAATACTAGTAAGATTATATTTCAAATTGCAAGACAAAACAAGTCTCATGGATCAAACAATTAAAATTCTCATTACCGCGAATAATATAAGGTTATTACGAGAATACCTCAAAGTATGCACGACTTTGGAATTCGCATTTCCTAATATGGTAGGATGAAAATACCCCGTAAAACAACGGCACGCTGTAAATTATGGCATTACGCCGATAGATGTATAATAATATGACTAATTACAATCTGACGTAGAAGAGACTCTTGTCACTTTAAAGGAGAATCTGAAAATCCCAAGAATTGCACCACGAAATCATGGGACATGTTTTGTTATGTTGTTCATACTGTTAATCTGTTATTTTGCTTTCCACTGTATTTTCAATCCACTAGGCCAGTTTAAGACCGCCGACGCACATTCTACAACTACATTCGCCCAACTACCTATGCAAATCATGTTCAAGTCTCTCAGGGTCGAAACCATTCAAAACTCGTGTTACAGACCGCTCTAAAACGACATAGCTTGTTTTAACAAGGCGCGTTTTAACTGGATGACAATTACCATTAGAGGAGAGCTGTCGAACGTGATTTGCGAAAGTAATTAGTCACACAGGGCGACGACCAGAGCCTCTACCTACGTCAGAGTTTGAACAGATTGTTCTGATCATGAGTCAAAATGACGTAGAAATAGAATTTAATAAACAACAGTCTTACTAGTTTTACCAAACATACCACAAGTTAAAATGTGGACATAATGTATACTGTAAATAATTGCCCACACTCGAGTGATACGAACTTTGGAAAATTACACTATAGAAATAAACAATTGAAAGTCCCTTGCAGTCTGGATGACCAAATAATACATACATACGAAATGCTAAAAAAAATGTTTTAGTAATAAATCGTTTGTTGAATAGTGAGGAAAGTGCATGAAGGCAAAGATCGCTGGATTTGTCACCCTAGATTCACTGACTGGTGGTGTTGCAGTCTCCAGTGTGAAGCAACAGCGCGTTCGAATTTCGTATAAAAACCATGCGTTGTATAAGTCGCATGGGACCCACAGGAAAAATGACATGGCGCGATGACTGTGCCACTATAACGTTAATCAAACAACTGCAGTAGGGATTAAAATTCACGTCACGGTATCATTAATAAGCTACATGCGAAACCCCGAAACGAGCAAACAAGAAAAATCGGTATATGTTTTCTGAGGATAAGTCACCATAAGTTTCAGCTACTACAATACTATACTATAATATGAATCTTCTAGAATGATAATCAGAGCTGTTTCCGAATACTATAAAACAAATAATTTTCACAATATTCAAGTTGATAACACAAGCACATTTACTGGATTTCAAATTCACTGATTTTTAAGAACAACAATGGGTTTTATTGTAATTTCATACTGAATTCAATTTAGCGAAAATAGCAAATATAAAGCCCAGTTAAACATTAATGTATTCACAGTACTTGTTTGGCCAATTCTAACATTAATGGAATAAATCAATTCTAAGACACTTGTGATTATGATATGCTTGTTTTGTATAAGATCCTGGCACCCCCAATCCAAATTGGGCTATGGCCCAAAATAAAATCATGTTTCTGGTCATCATTGCGTGCATCAGTTGAAGAAGTGAATTTTGTTAGAATTTCTGGAAAAATCGCACTAAGAACATCTTTTGTGAAGATTTGAAAATAAAAAGCCTCGATTTTGAATAACAAATTCATGAGAAATGTTTTTCTGGACCTCAAATACAGAAAAAGGATTGTTAGTTCGCCTTCGTCTCTGTACTTCGTTTCGTCTATTCTTTAACATCGTTCATAGCAATATCATCGACTTCCATGTTTTTCTCTGGTTCATCACTTTTGATCACTTTGGAATACACGTTTCGGACACGTGTGATGTTAGAGCCAGGTTCAAAGACGAACTCGTAGAGGAATGCTGCTAGGACGCCGCCAATAATCGGACCAACCCAGTAAACCTACAGAGTGAATATATAATCATGACAATTTTCATTTAATAGACTGCAATCACTGCATGCATCGATTCAGTCACGCTTTGTGACATGATGAATTACAACTGGTATCCTCGTAAAATTAAAACACGATGAGCAGTGGAAATTGTTTATGGAGCTCATTAAATTGCTATAAAGAACGCTATGTAAACCATTTGGTGGCTACAGCACTCCTCTGAATGGGGGACCATTAGGGGAACGACTCTTACGTTTCAATTTAAGTTTACGGAAAATCATCAGATGAGAAAAATGGGAAAAAATAAAATAAATTTGGCTTGTTTCTCACCCAGTGGTCGGTCCATGCGTTCATAACGACAGCGGGTCCAAACGATCGTGCAGGGTTCATACTGGCGCCGGTAAATCGTATCTACAAAGGGAGAGTGAAAGACAACATCATGTTGGGCTTAGAACAAAGATCAAGCATAATGCACACGTGTGCCTAGAACCTTCTTGTCGCAAGGCACATCCCAAAACTACCCATGCCAACCTTCCCTGGTTTTAAAATAACTAATTACGAAGTCGCCACCCACCCCTAAACCAGCCCCACCAGATGTCGCTCTCAATTACAAAATATGGCAAGATGAACTGCAAAATGACCCTGATGCTGAATTTCATATATCGAGTAGTTATCATCATGGAAGGTACTATCTAAGCGCAATTGTTCCACGTGCACTACCAGTCACCCACAACGGATATGGATTCGTGATAATTATAACCTAAACGAGCGCAGAGACCCCACCCAGGTTGTGAGAATCGACACGAAGTTTTCAAGCTCGATGACCTTGAACACAGGGGAGCCCCAGGGCTGTGTACTAAGTTTCTGGGCGTCCACATATCCAGCGACTTGACCTGGTCGATCACTGCGCCACGAAGGCAAAGCGTTGGCTGTTCTTTCTTCGAAGATTGAAACGTTTTCGTTTGCAGACTGTTCTGCTGCTTAAATTCTGCCACTCCGTGATCGAGAGTATCTTGATGCTCTCCGTCACGGTGTGGTTTGGTAACATCTGTTACAAAGACCGGAGGCTCCTGGACGGTGTGGTGGCGAGCGCGGCGCGTATTATTTGGATCCAACTTCCCCTCTCTATGCGACTTGTACTGGAAACGCAGCGAGCCGAACGAATCATCGATGACACGTCTCATCCCGAGCATGATTTTTTTCGAGGTCCTACCGTCCGACAGGCGCTATCGATCTCTGGCATCCACATCGTCCCGGTCAGCCAAAGACTTCCACCCTATAACCATCCGACGCATGACATCAAATTTATGTGAGACCCCTAGGTAGTCTTTGTTGCATCTAGTCAAATGATTGTATTTACTTTTGTTTATATTTTACTTTTAGTGCGCAAGACCAATCTAATTTCTATGTATATTTTAATATATTTAGCCAATAAACTATGATATATATATAAGTACATAATATGCAAATTACACTAATTAATATGCAATAATTTGGATTTAAACTAGGCTGGATATTTACTACCGCGAACAAGAACTTACTTATGCGTATAGTATGGTTAGACTATAACATAATACGTGTAAACATGTTTAATAAAATTGTGACTACTGTGAAAGGCGTATTGCTGACTGTAGAACAAAAGGTGAAGAAATCTTTAGTTTTAGGTACAATGGATGTCTGTATGCGAGTTTGGTGTAGGAAACACACAGGACATATGTGTATTTGTGTAAGTGTAGTTTGGTATAGTCTATAATTGAACGTGTTTTTCTCAAGTTCTATAATCCCAGTTTAGTTTATAAAAATGAGCCTGGGTTATCACTTTGTAATCAGTGAAATGCAATCGTGTTCGAGACAGGATTATAAAGCGGTGAAAACTGGGTCGTAAGAGTGAATTAAGCTCATTTTGAAAGAGAGAATGTTGTTTATGTTAGGCCTTCTTGACACTAGCGACCATGTACACATGCTTTATCTAAATCCCACTCATGTTAGTACCGTTGTGTTGACGTACCACATGCCGATTCACGTATAGAGCCGGCTTGTTAGTCATGTACTTATAGTTTAGTATTATATGCGTTTGCGTTTGTACAGGTAACGTTTTACGTTTTACCAGACTCGTATATACCCCCCCCCCCCCGCATAGTCGCGGGGCCATGATTAACATTGGTTAATGAAAATCCAGAAAATCAACTGTAGCAAACAAATAAGTTACACAGTGAAATATGGAATACAGGGACTATCAGTAGCGTGATGTACAGTGAAACAGCAATTCATTGTACTGTGCGTTGGTTTAAAACATACTTTCACCATGGAACTATAAACTATAGTTCCATGCAGTTCCATGCTTTCACAGAGTTCACACGACCGGGCTGTTTGTTCAGACTTGTATTTTTCTCCGGTGACTCCAAGTTGTCAAAGATCAGATCTCCGTCGTCATTCTGCAACATTGTAAGGCCCGATCTGTGTGGCTATATTAAAGCTTGTTTAGCGTACCCGGTCGTCACTTAGTGCCATGTTGTTCATTTCGGTCACACAAGGAGTGCGGCTACTGAGTAATCTGACTACTACATGACGTAATGAACCAATAAATGACTCCGTACCACCGAGCACACGTGTAATGATCGGGTGAGCATACTCATTTTCAGCCAATCAGGCGTGCCGTAACAGCGAGTATTTCCTTGATTTACCCAGAACACTGTGCGAATCCCCCTTGATTCTGGCTGCTGCTGAAATCGTCGGATATGATCAGAAAACGCGGGATTTGTGCAGTTTTGAATAAAACTAAGTTAGCGATTATGAACAATGGCTATTAACGTAACACCAGATCCCCTCTAAACTTGTTGTTTCGCATTTTAAGGTAAGAAATCGAAATTTGAAACCGACAAGCTGTCGAATTACGAGGATCCATGTTTCATAACTTATGTATTTATATACGTATAGCGGAAGATTTTTAAAAAAAATTAGTATTTAATTAATGTTCAGCCCCCAAGTGACTGTGGTACAGCACCGTCTAGTTATGATAATACAAAAATTATTAGAGTGTAAGCGTCAAAATGACCTCGATGTAGCAGCACTAGCGTCATTTCAAATAACGTTTCGAGAATAGCAATACGACTAGCGTCTATGTGGCATGGGGGGGGGGGGCTGACATCAACGTGCCTCAAAGTGCCACGGCTAAACAAATTTTGCTTCATATCTTTCTCAAATGGTACCTACATCCTGTAAGTCTTTCTCAAATGGTACCTACACCCTGTTTACTACTAACTGCACCTGATCCAACTATGCATAAACACCTGCTAGTAGTAAAAGCTTGTTTGATAACTCCCCAACACTGATGGCTGTCGAATTGTTGAGCCTTGTGGAATGCCTGACTACTAGGCCCACTTGACGAATATTTATTTCCAACGTGTACGTCTCAGGCTGCTTGAGAAGGAGTGGTGTGAATTGCTTGCTCCAGCTTGGACGTATCAACGAACTGATACCGGGGGTGGGCCTTTTAAAATACTGAGGAAAAGCAGAATTTCTTTTTTTTGAAAACACAATTATCATACCGTTTTAGTAAAACAAACATCGTCTCATAAGACGTACCAAGAATAAACCAAATCACGTAAATCAAATCACTTGCGTCAAGACATATTTCTCTTCTCTGTGTACCTAATGACGTCACAGTATGAGTACGTTCTGCGATGTTCTAAGATATAAAGTAAACCCTGAGTTGCAAACTTTATCATGCTATAAATCAAAGTTGGACAAACATTCTGACAGGAAAAGACACTCATCTTTACTAGGTCACAGCTATACGGGCATTCAAGTCCGCCAAATTCAAGTTGAATGTACCGCGAAACTAGAACGTATTTTTACCATACCGTGAAAGGCGGCCACCGTCAAGGCCTTTGCTCTGGTAAACAGGCTAAAGGTTCGGGTGGAGCACATTCTAGAGCGGCGACCCAGTGGAAACATTCAATTTGGTAAAACATTTATATATGGGCGATTCAATAGGCATATTCTCTACCTTGACGCCAGTATTGTATACGTGTATGGTAGACATTTTTACAGACTCAAAGCGCGGTGGTCGTCGCGCAGTGTAAATAAACAATGTATTTTACGTGCGTTGTATACGTCGCTATGAGTCGAACAGGACGCGGCACGATGACTGTCTACTAGTACAAGTGATTGTCTATTACACACGTGTCTCTCACGAACGCCATTTTTCTTAGCTTGAGCATGAACGCAAATGCTTGAGCTTGTAATCGTTTTACTGCATTCGTCAAATGACTATGTTCCTATCTTTGTAAATCAGTCAATGCACACATATCTAGAATTTGAGATTATATTTATAGTGTATTTTGGTAATATCCCCGGATGTAGCGGCCATTCTATACATCACGCGTACCGTGGGAAAATAATTAATATACTTATGACCAGAGCGACTGGAAATCGATTGACAATTTATACAAACATTTCCATACACTATTTTTACTTAGTCTGTTATCACATGGAGGTAAAATGTTTAACCTCCATGGTCATCACAAAATTATCATGTTTCTTAAAATCCTCTTGTGGTAATTCGCGTACGTGTGTGGCAAAGCAACAGACCAACAGACTGAGAGAGCGATATTGCACGTTTTTACATCGATCAACATTTTTAAAAGGCTTAAGACAATTTGACCTGGTTGATCTGATGACACGTGCATTACTGGAGTAAATTAATTTTATCATTGTGCTGACATTACTGAAATAATTAGGGTTGTGCCAACTTATTAATAGTTGTGGGTGTATAGCGATTACTTCTATCGCGGGGAAAATGTCTAGACGAAAAAAAAACATAACGTAAAATGAGATCCATTTTGTTTTGTTTTGGATTCACAGTGGCAAATCTAGGGGGGGGGGGGTTCTTTGGGTCCGCCCCCCTGAAAAAAATATTCAATTTGTTTTTGTATAATATAAAACAGTCATTAACTTAGTCTGGCGATTTTAAAGTTTGGACCCCCCCCCATGAAAAATCCTGTATCCGCCCCTGATTTAGTCCGATCGCTGATTTGCAAGGGGCGTACAAAACCTGGTACGTATCGACGGTTACTCTTTCAAACTAAAATTGTCCTCGACTACTGTAAGTCAGGTATATTATGCAAGTTATAATCGGAATTCAATATTATAAGCAGTTTTAAGTCAGGAATATCAACAAAAGAATAACGCGCCGCGGCTATGCAATATTAGGAATTCGACAAGCTACGATTTTGAAAAAAAAACACTGGGATGCCCGCCATTGGGGAATCACAACAAATAACATTGATCCGCCGACATGAAATGCACGTGGACTTGCTAAGCACTCGGATTTGGTAAACATTGGAAGCAGTGACGTACATGCATGCTTTCCGTATACGCCGACGGCTGTAGCATCAAAGGAATGAAGAAGTTCTCATAAAAAAGTAGTTATTAATATTTATAAGCGTATAAGCGACTGTGGTTTATCGGCCTGTGTCGTACTTTGACTGACGGACAGTGCATATTAAATTCCCGGATCTTTCGGAGTCATCGTTTCTCAGGGACCGATCTCTATCTTTATTTTCTCATTATGGCCAATCAATCAAACACACGAATGAACGGGCAGGGTATACTACGTTAAAATAATAGTCGTTCTCTATTCGGTTATGGCACTCGGTTTCTTTGATCACGCCTCCCCACTGATGTATTCCAATCAAGAACACACATATGGCTTGAATTCATGCACAGTTTCTACTTGTCGAGTTAGGGGATGTTTACGAAGCACCGCCGACGACTTTAGCTTATTAACATTGCTGAAATGATTACAAAGTGATAGATCATCAAGACAGCTTTAACCCTGGCTTCAAATACAATAATTAATCTTCACCGTATTCATGTTTAAATGGTTCAAATGTCGCACCACGCATGCGCTAAATAAGGGCTTCTTATGAACATTTATTGCGATTTTAGGTTTTGCCAGATAAACAAGTACAAAAATGATATGTTACTAAGGTTTGGCTAGATAATTTCTGCAATTACTGCAAGTAATCAGAGTCGACATTCTGTGCACATCGCCCCAGGTAAAAACTTGTATTCGTGAATGCCATTGCGAGAACTTTAGATTATAATGCGTTATTATTGATAATGCAATATTTAAAAATGTAGTTAAAATTAGTGTTATCAATGTTAGTTAATTTCTTTTATTTTAAACTCTACGTCTGTTGTATTAATTCTGCAACAAAATCTCTAATTTTAAAAGATTGACTTACAGTTGAAATTAATAATAATAATAATAAAAAAACAGGTTCGGCTTACTGTCAATTAAAACGAATTTAAATATATACCTTAGAAAGGATGGTATATGGTTTCAACAACGTCAACGCATACAATACGGCGGCTGAGAAACGACAGAACTCAGTGACGTGTACAAAAATACTTAAGGCGAAAGGTCAACAGCCTTGAATGTCAAGGGTAAAGCCAAACATGTTTTTGAGGGATTGACATGGATTACACTTCCCTCAGCTGTTATTCTTTCATGTAAATAGCTCAGACTAATATAACGGAATGTAAGATTTGCTATGTATTAACAACTGGACATTTGGTTCCGGGGTTATAAATATACTGGCTGAGTGGAACAGATGGAAATTCAATCTGAATAAATCCCCCTCTATATGTCTTAACATTAAACGAGCAGAACCTTTTAAATATATGGGTGACGCCTGCAACATGAAACACTCGTCTTCAGAAAGAATAACAAGTCTGGCTAGATGGTAAAACTTGTGTCGGCGTCAAGCCGTATTTCCAGCAGCAGTAGCGGCCTGAGTGAGGCGTGGGTTTGAATACATTACTAAAAAAATTAGGCAAACATATATCTAATTGTTTGAGGATTTTGTGAAATACGATATAATACAGATTAACTACGTATTTTGTTAATAAATATTGAACCATATTTTCGAGTGAAAGCGCCTATCGAGAAACCCGGCACGGGGACTAACTCGAGCATACATTGTTTTCAGATAGTCACCGAGATAAAGGTTTACTCGTCCAAGGTACACATACGAGCATGCAAAATAAAATGTAAAAACGCCAATTTGGTCAATCATATCACTTTCTTGCAAAAAAAAAAGCTCTTATAGTGTAAAAAAGAAAAAAAGATGGCACAAGCTTACCCCGGCCAGATGTCCGATGACTACCGATAGACCAATGGATAGCGACGCAGACCCCAGTAAGTCGGAACGACGAGAATCTATGGTCGCAAAGATTGTCAGCACAAGCTGGAAGGTGAGGATGATTTCGATGAACAACCCCTGCCAGTTATGGACGCCGGCGATTGACGTGACACCAAGGGTTCCGCGAATATCGGATGTAGGTAGCAAGGCGTAGAGGAGAGCAGCACCGACGATCGCGCCCACACACTGAGCCAATATGTAAAACATTGTAACAAGGATATTCACTTTCCGCGTGCAGAAGGCGGCCACGGTCACGGCGGGATTGATGTGCGCACCACTAACGTGACCAAAACACTGCACCATAGTTGCGATGGAGATACCGAATCCAAGCGCTATCTGCACCATAGTCGCATCTTCTCCGGGCGAGTTAATAGTAGATGCGATTCCAATGAAAACGAAAATAGCCATAGCGACACACTCCGCTAAAACCGCTCGCCAAAAGGTCGCACTGCGGATCTGTCCAACCATCGTTTGTTCGGCCATGACGCTTTCTCTTTCTTCGCTATTTTCTTCTTCGACTCAGTGAAGATAATACTACGTTCTCAGTCACCGAACAGTGTATGTGTGAAAACTAGTACGCCTTGCTGAGTATATTACTGCTGTCATTCAAATCGTGCCCGCCTAGATGAACTGCATATCTTAGCCGGATCCGTCATTGTAATGCGCTTGCGCATGACATGTTTCTAAAGACTTGGGCGCGCTAATATTAAAATGAGCATAGAGACACCATACATACACACGGGATTTGACGTCGAAAAAACTAAACAAAACAACATACCATAGAATACAAAATCGTATCATGGGTCGCTGATGGGTTAATTCACGGTTTTCTCTACGCAAACAGTGCACAGCAGCGAATATTTGCATGTTCATACCGAAATAAAACAGAAGACGGTGGGAAAATATTGTGTTCAGTCGTCCAAGTATTAAACGAGGTGACATCATCGATTATACATAATATTATGACAAATGACTTCCGCGAGTTGACTGCACAGTAAGATCCCGCGAAGGTCGAAAGCAGTGCAGCAGCAACTGTTTCCAATGAAAAAATTCCTGAAATGAAATTAAAATTAAACTGATGAAGGATGCTGACGATCTACGGATAGGAATTTCATTAGAGTTTAACCGTATACGTAAAGTTATGCAATAGCAGTATAACCTTATGGGATATTAGGTACCACCTCTGTGCCAACTTTTGGTATCACGCAGGTAATATCAACGAGGAAGTGAAAACTAAGCTCGTACTCCGTGGCTTGATCAAACAGGAGCTTCCGTAATACAATAATATGGCATGGCGGGCATACTTACACTACATATACAATCTGTGACAGTTTCAAAGTTCAAGGAAGCGTAGTAGGTTTTTCTCTTTGTCTCAACTTGTCTCAGTGCGTATACGTACGTACTCATTGACTTTGATCAAACTGGGGCTTCCGTAATACAAGAAATTGGCATTGTGGATATACTCGCGCTACATGTGCAATCTGTGACAGTTTCAAAGTTTAAGAAAGCGTATTTTTTTCTCTTTGTCTTAAGTTGTATATAATATTCACGTAAATATATGTACTCGTATATGAGATAGGCGAATTCAGCTGTTTTGCTGGTTTCGCCACTATTCTCTGTTAAAACGTGAACCGATTAATAATATCACTGTGGTATATCCACAACAACGTACAACATGCAATCCTTTCTGTCAAATACATATACCTCTTACCGACCAAGCACAGTTGTCGACTCCGCAATGGAGTTACTGCGGTGTTAAGCAACCGGCGTTGACGGACATATGGCTCATAGTAAATATGGTATTCATTGCGTAAATGCATACATTTAAACATTTTGTACATTAAAATGTACGCCAGACGCCCAACCAATTGCACCACAGAAACATAGTCCTATTGAAGTTGGTATTCACACAATGAACCAAATGTATGTGGACATTATGTATAATTAAACAACTCGTACAGCGCTCTGGGCGAGCCTGAACCACCAAACTTTCGGTTAACAGCCGAACGCGCTTTTTTTTTCCTATTTAATAAAAGACTGTCCCACTGACCGGTCTTGTTAAATAGTTAAAATTACATTATGATAGTGAATATTAATTACAATAAATTTTAAAACAACAATTTTTTTTATAATAATCTCAAGTTCACATGAATGCATCTCATTGAGAGTATATGCTTTACATGCTTGCCAATCAGTTAGAAAGCTACATAATAGTACTTAAAGCGGGAGGGTTGTCACCTGCGCACGCGCGGGAATTGAATCCCAAGCGACAATAACAACACACGCTAAAAATGCAAAGGCTCATGGGTAGACGCTTGTTTGTGAACAATGATACGTTATGACCATCTGACGCATACGCATGTGACGACTCCCCCGCTTTAATTCACCGTTCTTCTTCCGTTGAAAAACGGAGATGAAGTAAACGTTCATAGGTGCACAATACCAAGATTGTGGCACAATTATACCTAAACGACGGTGAAAAAATGGAAATCAAATAAAGTGATAGATTTCATTTTTACTGACATTGTAATTCATAATATACTAGAGCATACGTTATATTAAAGCGGAGGGGTCGTCACCTGCGCACAGGCGGGAATTGAGTCACAAGCTACATAACAACGCGTGCTAAAAACAGAAAGGCTTATGGGTAGAGGCTTGTTTGTAAACAGTGACACGCTATGGCCGTCTGACGCATGCGCAGTTGACGACTCTAAGTTAATGTAAGGTAATCATCTTATCCGTCCACCATCTAAACGACATCCTGGTTTGTGGCAACGATACTCTCAAATTGTATGACAATATTTTTAAAGAGATACGCTGGTTCTCAAGACAAATAATTATTACCCAATCCTATTTATCGGTCTTGTCATAGAACTCACAAATAATGTTTTTAATTTCAGGTTATTGTTACGCAATGTTCGAGAAAAATATATTGAATACGTAGTTTTAGAAGACTTGAATTGTCGACCACTCGGTAAATAAGTGGATGGTACTTTCATTTCAATGTTTGTCTATCGGCTTTTTAAATGTTTGAGTGACATTTAATGGTTGCGTATAGCGGCGGGTTCGCTGACATCACATATAGGACCGCCGGACACCCTTGCCTAATTCCACGCATTTAGAGAATGGATCGAACGTAAAACCGTTTTCATTTGACCGAACTTTCGGCATTATCATACAAGACAGCTTTCTAATTGATAAAATGACTTCCACTGAAATCTCGCGGGGTTTAGAAGGTAGTTACGCTCAACACGGCCGAATGCATTCATTCGATCTAATTTTAGAACGATACCTTGATTAGTTTCATTTACATAAAAAATGATATTGTACATGCAGAGTACGTTATCGGCAATATCACGCCCTTCGATGCAGCGCGTCTGATTCGTTGAAATTATTTTGCGGAGTCTATTAACCAGAGTTTTGGACAATATTTTATATCAGTGTTATGAAGCGCCAGTTTGTTTAGCATTCTTTTATCGCGACCAGGTTTAGGGTTCAGAGTAACAATGGCTCTCTGCATGCTACTAGTAAGCGTACCTTTTTTCGAATGCTCATACTTTGACAGAGCGAGCTCTTCTAGTGTTATTGGTTAATCACGGGCTGCTTTGTCTTCGGTATCAAATTTTGTTAGAGAGAAATTTTGTAAAATTATTTATAGCAGTTTCTGTACACGTTTGTTTAGTCGTCTATAAATAAAAATAACAGTTAAGTGTTTCGCGTAGGATAGCTTCACTCGTGTTACATAACCATTCCGGTAATTATTATTTTGGAGAATTTTTTTCGTGATTGTAAAAATATTCAGTAAGCTTATCACCTTCTTCGAAACTTAGTAATTTGCTTCGAATTTTTGCGCCCTTAATTTCAATGTCAGTCATGGTATCTAACTCGTGCTCCAACTTGGCCGCACGTGTTAGGTCGTAATCACAATATAATGCGGCTTTTTTATCAAAGCAATTTGACTTTTATTTTGTCTATTCGACTTTGAAAATATTTTTGAGGGTGTTGGTTAAGCCAAACGTCTACAAATTGGTATGTATTTATAAACTGGTGTAGTCGTTTGCTTAACTGATCGATACTGATCAAGAGCATTGTAGGAATTATTATTGGTTTACAAAAATTACATTAATAGCGACGAACATTATGTTGAAAAATTTGGAACGCTCAATAACGGCACTGGGAGCGTATATATTAACAACTTTGTGTCAATGTCGCATATTTATTGTACAAGTTTGCCCCCGTCGTCTTTTTTACTTTTCGAACTTCTATTCAGGAAGTTATGCTAACAAGCCAGCACACGCCATGCCTCCTATTGTGGTTAATACAAATCTGTACTATACTTCAATGATTCATACGTACAAGCTACACAACAAGCATGAAATGCAGTATGCAGTGGTTGCAGTGCCCAGGAACCACACGCGTTTATTACTGGTATTCCCCTTACATATGTAAATATACACGAAATAATTGATGCCAAAGCCCATCGCGAATACATCGACCGCCCAGGAAAAATCAAATATAAAAACCCGTCTAGGGAGAAAAAACTTCTTGAAACTTGTACCCGACGCAATGCCTGATGTACGTAGGGGTGGACGTCGGGCATCATCCATAATAAGGTTGTTTGCAACCGAGACTGAATACAATATAATACTCTTCCTACTATATACCCATGAGCACTTGGATACTTAGCCACTAACCAGAGCTGGTGAAATCCCACCTGTTAATAATTTACATACGAATAGATAACCAATTTTCTGCTAATCTACGAAACGCAGATAATTTACCAATATTACTAAATACATTAAAATCATTCACGAATGAGAGTTAACATTTTTGGAAGACCAAAATATTTCTTGTACACAGACAATGTCGTAGTGACTCTTCTTAAATAGATGCAAGATAATTTGCAATTTGTAATTATTGAAGCTAAAACTGCCATAACATTGTAAGGCAGACAAATGCTCTTACATAACTATCCATCCTGCGTTATCATGCTTATCATCTTTGCATTCTAGTTGGTTGCTATGCGTGGGTTTCGATGGTGTGCCGATTTCCGTGTTCGTTGATTCCGACTCATGATGTCTTTTAAATATTTGTGGTGGAATCGTTGTACCATTACCTGTCCTGTAGTATCATCGTCGCCGCTGTTGTTATTCCCGGCCCCTCCTTTGTCTTGTCTTTTGCTATGGTTTTGAAGTCTTTTCCTGTATTCCCTACCGTCCGATCTATTAGTCTTGACACCAGTCAGCCGCCGCTCAATTATTGACTGCATGGGATGAATAGGTTTTTCACAAGTCACACTTTATATGGCGATATGCACATTATCTTCAGATACAGATCGTCAATCATCAAGCGTAGAGCGTCTAGCGCAATCTCTCGCACGATGACCTCCCTTTCCAATTTTTTTCTGTTTTCACATCATTGTTCTGTATGACCGATACCCACATATTTTAGGCATTTGATAATACCTTTTTATGGTCATTATGTAGAAGTCTGAAATGGTCGTACATCGAAAAAGTATATAAATAAAGAA